CAAACAAGTAGAAAATAATTCTGATGACTCTGTACCACAAAAGTGCCCAGCAAACACCCAAATGTGTGGTGATCACATGCATGTGTATAAAACCTTTTCCAACCTAGAGCTCCAAAATGAAAACGTTGCATGTTTTTAGAGCATGTTGCGTTACAAGGTACTTACTGTCATTTTAACAGTGATACTACGATTGTCTGCAAAGTACATTAGGTTGCACTGTAGGCAGTTGTTGTACATCACAATATTCTTTTGGTCTGAATGCAGCCTGAAAACATATTTTGGGAATTATAGATGTCTGCTTTACAGAAAGCTGGATAAATTGCTAGTATTGTATTTTTTAAATCATTCTGTTCCTAAGCATGTTCTTGCCACGTTATGTTTAATAACTTCACAGGTGATTTGGAAGAAAATATAAAATCATTGCTTAATGAAGTTTCTAGTTGCACAAAAAGTAGTGGAATGCTATGCAATAATTAAGAAAGATCAGTTATAGAGATTGAGTACAACCTTTTTTTAAAGTAGGTTCATTTGAACAAAACACCTAACTATAATTTCAGACTTATCAGGAATTTGTGTCATTACTGGGATGAAAGATTGTATCCTAGAAAGTAGTGACCCTGGACAATAACATCATGTTGCATGACCAACTGAAAAGAAAATTTTACAGGAAAAGTGGCTGAAGGGAATTTTGTGCACTCATGTATGGGAATGCAGAGGAAATAATATTTCTGTTTCCAGAACTAGTAAAACCATTTTTTTTAATATTGTACCAAGTTCTTCACTGACCTTCCCCAAACTTCTGCATGGAATTAGTCAAAGGATCTTTGCACAGGAGTTAGCAGGCCTCATTGAAAGTGCTTTAAACTAGATTTGAAGGGGGAAAAGGATAAAACCACGCTCACTAGAGATAAACCTGGGAACGACACACCAATGTTTGAGGGACGATGTGCTAGCAAGGTCCTTCCATCTGCCATCTCAGATGGAGATCCATGTGGCAGCAAAGATGCAAGGGTTATGGATGTGTTAGAAACCATGGAAGTGCCTGAGAATGGTCATGTAGGAATAAGGGCTTCTCCTCCCAAAAAGGTGGCAGGATCAACAGCCCAACTGAAGTGCATCTACAGCAATGCATGCAGCATGGGCAACAAACAGGAGGAGCTGAAAGCCATTGTGCAGCAGGAAAACTATGACATAGTTTCCATCACAGAAACATGGTGGGATGACTCGCACAACTGGAATGCTACAATGGATGGCTATAAACTCTTCAGAAGGCAGAGGCAAGGAAGGAGAGGCAGTGGGATAGCCCTGTACGCTAGGGGGTGTTTTGATTGTCTAGAGCTTAATGGTGGTGACAATAGGGTTGAGTGTTCATGGGTAAGAACCAGGGAGAAGGCCAGCAAGGCAGATAGGGTGGGAGTCTGTTATAGACCACTCAACCAGGATGAAGAGGCAGACAAAATATTCTATAAGCAGCTAGGAGAAGTCTCACAATCACTAACCCTTGGTTCTGATGGGGGACTTCAACTTACCAGATGCCTGCTGGAAATACAATACAGTGGAGAGGAAAGAGTCTAGGAGGCTCCTGGAGTGTGTGGAAGATAACCGCCTGACACAGCTGGTGAGGGAGCCAACTAGGGAAGGTGATCCGCTGGATGTGTTGTTTGTGAACAGAGGACTTGTGGGTGATGTGATGGTTGGAGGCCATCTTGGGCATAGTGATCACAAAATGGCAGAGTTTTCAGTTCTTGGAGAAGTAGGGAGAGTAGGGGTCAGCAGAACTGCTACCTCGGACTTTCGGGGGGCAGCCTTTGGCCTGTTTAGGAGACTGCTTGACAGAGTCCCTTGGAAGGTAGTCCTGAAGGGCAAAGGAGTCCAGGAATGCTAGACATTCTTCAAGAAGGAAATCTTAAAGGTGCAGGAGCACCCAATGTGCCAAAAGACCAGCCAGCAGGGAAGATGACCAGCCTGGCTGAACAGAGAGCTTTGGCTAGAACTCAGGAAAAAAAGAATTCGTGACCTTTGGAAGAAGAGGCAAGCAATTCAGGAAGACTACAAGGATTTCATAACATTATGCAGGGAGAAAATTAGAAGGGCCAAAGCCTAACAAGAACTTAATCTGGCTACTGCCATAAAAGACAATAAAAAATGCTTCTATACATACATTAGCAACAAAAGGATAGCTAAGGAGAATCTCCATCCCAGTGGTGTAGTGACTGGCAGAAGGCCTAGTTTTTATGCTGTCTACAGACTTTAGAAAAAATTAACTGTTTAAAAGGAAAGAATGCATGTTTGTAACAGTGCTTGATCCATGTTTATTCCCTCCCTAACACACTGAGAACACCAGAACAATGCTTTCACATAAAGAAAATGCTGCAGGACAAGCTGTTCTCTCTCTTCCTTCTCAGATCTCAGGAAGTTAAGTACACATCATGGAAGAAACATTGTAAATGGCTTAGAACATACCAAAATACAAGAGACTGGTGTAACACCAACAACAGCAAGGAGGCTGGTGAAGGGTCTAGAGCACAAGTCTTCTGAGGAGCTGCTGAGGGAACTGATGTTGTTTAGTCTGGAGAAAAGGAGGCTGAGGGGAGACCTTATCACTCTACAACTACGTGAAAGGAAGTTGTAGAGAGGTGGGGGTCGGTCTCTTCTCCCAAGTGACAAGCGATGGGATGATAAAAAGCCTCAAGTTGCATCAGGGGAGGTTTAGGTTGGATATTAGGAAAAATTTCTTCACTGAAAGGGTTGTCAAGCATTGGAACAGGCTGGGCAGGGAAGTGGTTGAGTCCCCATCCCCAAATTTATAGTGTAGACGTGATGCGTAGGGACATGGTTTAGTGGTGGACTCGGCAGTGCTAGGTTAACCGTTGGACTCGATGATCTTAAAGGTCTTTTCCAACCTAAACAATTCTATGATTCTAACAGCTTCTCAGAGTGAATGCTTCACACAACAGCACTACAGTTCCACAATATATATGAAGTCAAAATACTTCAGATCAGTGATCAGATGCTGAAGGCCTGTGAGTTGCCAGAGATTTAGGGAATTTCATGTTTGGACATGGTATCTCTTACAAGCCTGCTTTTGCTTAGTCTGTGAGCAAAGATGCCAAGTTAATTTCTAAGTTGTTTTTTATTTCAGTGTATTCCAACCATATAGGTAAAACACTGCTTTTGCAGTGATGACATCCAATATTAATCTCTGCTATCTAACAAATATTCACTGAAATACACATTTGATTGGTATACTTTATCTGAATTTTAAAAACAAGATGCCAGGCTCCTCCTTTATTCTGGTCTCAACATCTGCAGTTCAGTGCTGTAAAAACTAAGGCACAAAGCCTCGTAACTCAGCTTTCTGAAATATATTTGCAATATGCAGTTCAACCTGGCCACTCTTTTTGCACATCATAAGCATAACCAGTTCAGTAACATCCACTTCAAGAATTTCATTTCCCTCTGCTAGAACATTCTGTTAGTAAGAACAGCAGAAGAGGCTAAAGGTAAGATGTTCTAAATCGTAATTCACATGGATGTGTAACAAAAAATTTTGATGCTAAACACTTCTAAATGACCTTAAGAGAAAAAAAAAAAGCAATTCAGTAAGATGATATGAATGATCTATTACATAATATATGGGAGAAGAACTGTTAGGTGAAACTGTAATAACAAGTGATATCATTGTAAGTTAGTTTCTGGATGTTCAACCATGAAAAGGATTGATTATTACACAAAATGAAAATGCTTATTGTTCTCTTTTCTGTACTTACAGTATCATTTCTAATTCAGACAGTGAATTACAAGAATAGCCTTTCAACACTGAATGTGGGGAAATTTAATGATCATTTGGCTAGTTCTAAAATTCAGCAGTACTTTAGGACACTTCAAATATTTTTGTGGGCCCCTGTTTCTCTGGAACCATCCTACAGCTTACTCATTTACTCTTTATCTTTTGCTTTTCTTGTGCCAAAGGTCTGCTCCAGCTTTGCAGCAGAATTTAGCTTTTCAATACTCATCTTCCCTAGATGAAGAATGTGTTTTCTGACATGCTCCTTGGAAAAGCATTAGAAATATTATTGTATTCTGCTTACATGACAACCCTGAAGCAGTTAACTGTAAATTATGTAAACAGGCAACATTTAACTACAAAACTTACAAGGAAACATAACTACGAACAATCATAAACCTGTTTGTTGCTATCAACACAATAGCCTTTAAAAAGACATTTGTTTCTACTGGAGTGGTTTTTGGATGAAAAAGGCCTGCTTGGTCACCTGGGTTATTCAAATACAATTGCTTGAAAATGATACAGTAAGGAATGATCCTGACCCAGCAACAGCACTTACCTGGTGATGGAACAATTGAGGTATCTTAAAAAAAAAGTTCTAAATATATGCAATTTACTTCATTCAAATAACCTTTTTTTAAATATCAACATTGTCTTTAATGCCATCTTGCTTTTATGAGTGATGGTAATAGATTTATTCTCTGGAAAACTGGTATCCACAATGAAAATAGTATTTCCAATTACTTTTATTCCCAAGAAATAAATGGGCAAATACCTTTTCCAATCATATACACAGTTCAGTGACAATGAATTATGGTAGCAGTGGCTGGCTCTTTACCCTTTATGAACATTAAACTTTGGTAATATTCTAATAAAATTGCTTTTCTGTATTTTTTGTAACATGGTTTAATATGTAAACTACTAGTCTGGAACTCGATCACTAAATTGAAAAACCAACTAAACACCAGCAAGGATTATTCTGCTTTTACCTTATCAATAGGTTTTAAAGTTTTAAATGAGAAAAACAGAGAAACATGGAGGCCTGCATTAAAAGAAGTAAAATGAAAAAAATTCTCATTTAGACATATAGAAATATATATCTTATGTACACATACCAAGTATCTACTTCTATATGTGCCTATTAAATGCCCAAGTTCGCCTTTTGCTACTCATTTTTAAAGTTGCTTCACCAATCAGTTTTCATATTTCTTACTTTCACTTTGACTTCCATTTCTTCAAGCTCCTGAAGTAACTCTTCGTTTTCCAATAGAGATGAGCCTAAGTTTTGCTTGTGAAAATAATCTCTGATGTTTTTCTTGTACCACGATGTTACCTAAATAAAGAAAGAATCCAGTCAGTGAAAAATTTGAGAAGTGATTGTCCATTTTTTAAAATTTGTACAAGGCAGTTTCACCTACAAAAGAAGGTCTATTTTTCAATCCTTTTGTTTTTCATTCCTAATATTCATGCTTTTATTCAAATGTTTGCATTTATATTATTTAAATGTTAATAAATGCAGAAGGAAAGGATTATGGTCAAAACAAACATGGATTGGAATATATGTAACAAAACAGACAAAAGTGTATTCATCAAGTATGACCAAATTATAAACTAACACAGTAAAAGAAAAATCAAGTTATAGTCACATATAGAATAAATGCATGTTTTATAACACGATAAATATATTGCACATTTTCGCTAGCATCACATTAACTTAAAAATATCCCTTTGCATACAGTAAAAGATTAGAAAACTGAGTACTTTTGCAAGGATAAAAAAACAAAAAAAACAAAAAAAAAAGACTAAATGGGCCTTATGACCTAATAGAACCTCTCCATCCCTGGCTTGAAAAACCTAGTTAAGCTTTTGAGATAATATTATGTGGAATAACCGCTAGTAGCTTAAAAAAAATATATATTATTGCATCTTCCCAGACTTACTTCAGCAAGTATACGCAGCAAACATATGCAGTATAGAAGTATATCTTCTAAACTGCACAGAATTACTTGCATTTATTTCTACTTGATTCACAATAGGTACCTCTCACTTATCTTTGTAAACAACACATGGCAAGAATTCCTGAGTGAACATTTGCATTTTAAAGTAGTAGTCAGAATGAGTTATTAGTATCAAGGAAACTTCCTCCAATCTTTTCAGTCTGGAAAATCACCACTATATTTAAATCATATATGGCACACTAAGAATTACTTCATATTCTAGATACTACAGATTTCAATAGCACACTACAGATTTTTTTTTTTATCTGCTCATGTAGAAGCTATTTTTAATAAATTTAAACAATTCTGAAAATGAAAGAGCCTTTAAAATGTGTTGAAAATATTTTCAGTTACAAATAAGAAATTGGGCACGTTATCTCAGGAGTTCAACAGAGCTAGGAAAGTAAACAAATTATTTTACTATTGAGTCTTCATTTCTTGAGCATATCCTCCAGATGTGTACTTACTGATTGAAACATTTTTCCTGGAAGCACATTTTCACAGAACATTTACTATGGGTCCACCAAAATACAAAGGAGTGGAATGGACAATAAAAACTGTGCTAAAAGCAAAAGAAAAATTTCTCTGTAAATTAGGACTGTTCTCTGTATCGTGTATCTGCTTAGCAAAACAAACTAGTATTTCTGTAATGCTAGGCAAAGGAAAAAGTCATTCTTTAACCCTGTTATAGTAAAGTGTTCACCCCTTTACCACTTGGCAGTATTTCTTTCCATTGCAGGTGAGTTTAATCAGTTGGCTTCCACTACAGCTAATACTGCTGAGTGATTTCAGTTGTGCCAGCTTAGCTCTTAAGCAAGAGCTGGGAATATTTCACTGCTTTTTAAGAAAGAAACCCACAGAACCTTACTTTCAGGGATTTTGGTGGACGGATGGGAAAGGAGAGAAGGTTAATACATCTGTTTGAAAAAGACAGTGGTTTTTCTTGATTGGTTGAAATCTAAAATCACTTCCATTCTTCAAAAATTAGATTTTATCATTCATTTACAATAATTATCTGCTCTGCTTGTGACGAATAATCCATATCAGAAATCAAAGGCTCTCCAACATTTTTGTCAGGTTGCTAAACTGCTCATTTTGCACTGATTATGGTCCAGGTGATTTCAATGCTTATATATAACCTTCCATTGCCTTACTACATTTCCCACTGTCAATTCAGAAAGAGAAGCAAGTTTTTCAACAAATAGCTGTTGGGTAAAAAACCTGAACCAACAGCGTAGCTTAGCTTGTTGTGGTGGGTTGGCCTTGGCCAGCTGCCAGACACCCACCCAGCCACTCTCACTCCTCCTGCCTTACAGAACAGGGGAAGAAAATAAAATGAAAAAGCTCGTGGGTTGAGATAAAGACAGGCAAATCACTTACCAGTTACCATCACTGGTGAAACAGACCCAACTTGGGGAAAATTAATTTATTGCCAATTATAGATTTGGTGAGAAACAAAGACAAAAACTAAATCACCTTCCTCCTACTCAGCCCTTTTCTTCAGGCTCAATTTCACTCTTTCATTCCCAACTCCTTTACCTACCCCCTCTCACTGAGTGGCACAGGGGTATGGGGAATGGGGGGGTTATGGTCAGTACATAACAGTTTCTCTCTGTTGCTCCTTCCTCCTCACACTTTTCCCCTAGTCCAGTGTGGGTCCTCCAGGGGCTGCAGTTCCTGTCAGGACACCCTGCTCCAGCATGGGCTCTCTATGGCCACAGTTCCTTCAGGAAATATCCAGCTGCTCCGGTGTGGACTCCTCCATGAGCTGCAGTGTAGATATCTGCTCCGATGCAGTCCTCTCCACAGGCTGGGGGGAAATGCCTGCTGTGGTGTGGTCTCTTCCAAAACTTCCATGGGCTGCAGGGAAATACCTGCTCCAGCACCTGGAGCACCTCCTCCCCCTTCTTCTTCACTGACCTTGGTGTTCACAGTGTTGTTTCTCACTCTTTTTTTCTTTCCCCTCACTCCTCACTATGTCTGTGCAGTGTTTTACCCTTTCTTAAATATGTTTTAACAGAGGTGCCACCAGCTTCACTGAGGGGCTCAGCTGTGCCCTGTGGTGTGGCCGCTGCGGAGCCGGCTGGAACCAGCTGTCTCCGTCAGGAGATAGCCCCAGCCCCTCCGCACAGAGGCCACCCACCCCTGTACCCCCCACTGCCAGACCTGGGCACCGCACCCAACACACCTGTGTAGTGGGGATATTTTCAGAAGGAGGGGAATTCTTGCACACACCAATTCAAAGCTCATACACACATATGTTGTTCTGGGCTGTACCAAACCTCTTGAACAATCTGACACTAATGTGAGACTATAGAGAGAAGGAGCAAATATAGCAGGGAATAGAAATTCAGTAGTAACACACTTTTCTTTCTAGAAATTATTCCCACTAGGAAAAACTTTGGTTTTTTTCACTCCCTTTCTTTCTCTATGTATTAAAACACACATACTTACATGCCATAAATTAAATCTGACCTTACCTCAGGCAGTTCGAACTTGAGCAGCCTGCACTATGTATTTTGACATACCTACTCTGAACTGCAGGATGAGCTATTCTCAAATAATTTCTGCAGTGCATTCACAATGACTTTTGTTAAATACCAGACAGGTTTTTTTTCATCACAATCATCACTGTATTTGAGTGGCTGATGCTTTACTTACTATCTTAAATCTCAGATAATATTTTTATCATCAGTATGTGATGGCATCACCATGACAATACAGATCTGGCTTTGTTCATCTTGGGGACATTTCAGTCTCTTCATAACAATACTACCTAAGCCCTTCCCTAATCTTCAATGCATTTATCTTCACAATATTGCTAGTGAAGCATCCTCATCTAATTTCATAAATAACGAGTTAGTGCAAAATGGGACTCCAGATGCATTTTCAAAGAACAATGCAGCACTTCAGTTTAAAGTCTGGGCTTTAGTGATTTTTCTATGATCAAGTACAGCCTTATAAAGAAGAGGAATAAAATAATCTTTTTATGGGAAAAGAACTAAGTATCAGTATTGCATTGTCCCAGAGTAGCTACTAGTGGCTTGTTATACCATGTTTGTGAAGGACTGTAAAAGAGCCTGGAAATAAAAAAACACCACTAAATCTGATGTATATGAGTCAACAAAAGCATTTCAAGTTCCAATATAGCGGAACAGTCCTTTTCATTTGTGATGTTTCTTGCCTATATAGACAAAAGCATTGTATGCTTTTTTTTGGCCTCCTTTTTTTTTTTTCCTCCCCTTTTCTTAAGAAAGAACTTTGTTTACATTATGTTCCCAAATACAGAAGTTATTTAGAATATTAGCTAATAAAAGTAATCATTTCAATGTTGAAGGGAACATTTGCAGTTGTGAAATATTAAAACCAAGTAACCCATATAGATACATGCATAGTTTAACAAGAATACATATACTCTCAGGAAAGATTATGACTGATCAACGATGGAGTGAGTTTGACAGGACATCAGAAACTCATTTGGTTTCAGGATGTGGGGCTTTTCTTCATAGGATCAAAGTCTGGGAATCCTATGCAGTTGGCTCACATATGCAAGAGTAGTAAGAGGAGCGAAGTTACCACTATCAGGAGAAACAGGATAGGAGATCAGACATTTAGAAATACGCAAGAGGGGAAGCATTGGCCATAATTAAGACAATGGCAAAATCACTGCTAAGTTCACTGGCACCATGATTTCACCAGAAGTGGCTAGAAAAGAAGTAATCTTAAAAGAAACATGTTACTTGTTACAGTCATGACCATCAGATCATCACATTCCAATTAGAGATCAAAGGAAGGTACTGCATTTTTAGTTCTTCAGAACCAGGTAATAAGTAGTGACCTTTACAGCTGCTTGGCTTTTCTTTTAAAAAAGCAATCCACAGATTATGCGGCCTTCTGCATTACATAATTATGCCTAGCAAAACAGAAGCAATACAAAGAGCAAAAATCCACTCTTAGATCTTACACAGCAGAGCTCATCTCCAGTACTCTGCTTTCTCCGTATCCCCTGAACTCCCATTAATGTCAGTAGGAGTTCAATACGCTGTTCTTGCATATGTAGCACCATTAGACATCAAGAGGAGTTCAGTCCATGTACAGAGATTGGAATATTCATTTTCAGATGTGCCGAGAGACTTTGAGATTCTAATTTCTGTCATCACTCAGAAATATATGCATAATGTGATAAAGGCCAGAGAGAAGTTTTACATAAAGTCTCTAAAAGTTAATTTTCCAGTGTTTGTATTTACATGTGAATATATTATTTGTCCATGATATATGCAAATTAATTGTCCATAAATGTACAAATCATACATTATACCAGGTTTGACTCTAATGCAGATACCAAACAAGTATATTCTGGTAAGTATGATATTAAAAACTATTTGAATTTGTCCCTCCATGTGTATACCAGCCTCAAACTGGACACAAGTATGAGCTCACAGGTAGTTAAATACTGGCCACTCTCTTCAGATGATCAGGAAACTTGCCAGTAGAAACCAGTTTCTATACATACTCTTTGTGATGTGAGCACATACCTGAGAAGAAATGGAAACATACACACAAAAAATTCACTGCACAATATTTTCAATCCCACCTAAATTAGGGTGAATTCTAGCTGGTTACTCCCAAATATTTATCCCTTATATGTAATGAGGACAAGTAGAACTCCCTGGTAAATTTTATGAAGTTGTGACATTTAACATCTCAGGCAATGTGGTGGGTTTTTTGTGTTTTTTTTTTGTTTTGGTTTGGGGTTTTGGTTTTTTTTTGTTGTTGTTGTTTGGTTTGGGTTTTTGTGGGTTTTTTTTGTTGTTGTTGTTTTGTTTGTTTTTTAAAAGAAGCGTGCTTGGCTCCAAAAAAGACCCCACATATTTATCCCTCACTCTTCAGCAGCAAGCTATTTCTGAAATGTTTCCATTTTGAATGTTCCTTCATGTTGTATACTATGGAATAGCACTGGCATGATAAGGTATTTGCAGTAACATCTAATACTTTTGCATGTAGAGAAAGGATAATTTTTCTAGATGAACTAGGACATATTTCCAATATAGCGAGTTAGACTGATACTGAAAGTTCAGTTGTAGCTGTTGTAAATTTATTAAAATACATTATATTGAAACAATATTTCTTTTTGAGGATCTTTCTTTTATGGTATAGCTATGTGGTGATACTGAAAAAAAATATCAAAAACAGTAACAGCAGCAATAATACGTATCTCTAAGCAAGCACTAGATGGTTTCTAATGATTTGCACAGAAATAGATACAGCCTCCTATACTGTAGTTCTTGTTTTTCAGTATTTTTGTCAGCTGTTATTTTATAATTACATACTGACATTACGACACTTGCATAAGACCATACTATTTTTATCTGTTTTGTTTTGTTTTTCTATCTAATCATTAAATAAGAATTTTTTGCTCTGTTTCTGGCAGCTACTGATATTGACTGCTCCAGAAATAAGGCTGTCAGCTTGCTTGCGTACCTCAACAATTTTGTTGTCTCTATGCAAAATTACAAAGAGTAGTGCTTGTTGAATAAGGTGCTTCTCATCTTTAACAACCTCACAGGCAAAGTTAGTGCCTACAGACTAGACTACTGCTAACAGTTTCTAACATTTTCCTGATACAGTGGGAAACTTTATTTTGGAGGCAAAGAAGGAAACTTACAGAGGTATGACAATTGGGACTGTACTATCAGAAGTCCATAGAAAATTTTAGCCTATTTACAAAACACTGAAAATAACACAGCTTTAGTCTTGTTAGACTTTGACAGTTAAATTTGCATAAGTTCCACCTTCTCAGCATACTTAATATCCAAAGAAGCGGAGCAGGACTCTCCCCATATCTTTTTTCTGACAAGTTGGTGAAGTTACGTGGTGTTTCTCAAGGAAAATGAGAGGAGAGAATCTTACATTGCAGAAGTTTTTCTGATAATGTGAAGCACAAAGAGAGAAAAGCTACTGATCTGAATGCTGGGAGATGAGAAATGAAAAGGAAAAAGAGCAGTAGGACTGGAAAGAGGAAGAGAAAGAGTAAGACTTAAATGTACCTAAGCTCTGAAAGCAAGGTACAAAACCAAGCTGTATTTGAGAAATTCAGTAAGAGACAGGAGCTAAGCTGGGAGAAAGAAGGAGAGAGAGAAACAGATTGCAGGTGTGGAAAACCTGCAATCACTATAGTACCCTAAAGAATTTTTTTGTGACTCCAAGAACAAAATATTCCTCTGCCTTCAGACACACCAACTGGCTAGCTATGCTATATCTTCTCTTTAACTGACTAGCCTAGAAACAGCCTGCTGCAGCTGTAATTTCTATTACCAGTTACTGTTATCGCTCATGTGTCTAGAGGTTTGTTTGTGCTGGAAATTCAATTTGAAGGGTATCTAGTTTGGTTTGAAGCACCACATTTGATAACTTACAGGAGGGACCCACATAATGGAAATAGTGCTTTTGAAGACATTGAAGTTATATTGAAATAAATTGTGAGGATGTTATAGTTACAAAGTCAAATATTCAAAAGTTAGGATCTCATCAAACAGAAATGGCCCAGGGATATTGGCCTAATAAATATATTAAAATATATATTATTATATATAATATATATTATTATATTATATATATTAGTTGCTAGATTTTTTTTTTATTGTGGCTTCCCTTAATATTATATGTCTTACCTGGTTCTCTTGTTGGTGCCACAAACAAATTTGCAGAACCTGCTCCAGTCCTTGGCGCTGATGTTTAAGAAATCTGTCCAGTTGCCGTCTCCTGTCTTGTAGCATTTCAAGGAGACTATCAATTTTCAAGCAGCTGCTGTGGGCTCCCTGAATCATCTCTGGATTTGCATTTGGCCCCTCACATTTGAATTCTTCTATGAATTCAGTTAGCTCTTGGCTTTTGTTTAAAAGTGCAAGCGACTTTTCCAAAAGCTCTGTAAGAATAGAATTTCATAGGAAAAAAAAAAAATGTGATTTGTAATTCTAGTAGCGTATTTCAAGTATTACTCAAGTATTTTTAAAACTACCTATCTATTTGCATACATGAGTGTAATGTATTTTCATGCATTGCATGAACAGGTTATAAATACTTACTTTAGAAGGTATGTATCCTAAGATATTTCAGTTTGGACAGCTGTTATATAAACCTACAAAGGTATAACAGTGTATACACATATATATATGTACCTATAATGGTACGTGTAATATAATATATATACACACATAATGGTGTACCAAGAGCTATTGAGACAAAACCCAGAAGTGATATTGTTTTCTGAAACTGAGTTCTTTTTGATGGTTTCCCAATCCTCAGGTAAGCTGAAGTGGAATTTCCTACCCTGCTTTCTGTGTGGGTCTGTAGCCTCTGTAGTTTTTCATTAGTGATGCAAGCAAAGTTTAGGTCTTTATGTCCCTCACAGCAGTTGAAAGAAAAAGTTCTCCTGTTTGGGGGCTGTTACAACCTTATGACTAAATAAGTCATGAACATCAGGAACTCTTACCTTCTTTCCATAACCTCTACCTAGACACACTCAGGGTTAAAATTCAGTGGACTAGTACACTTTAATGACCTACTAGTCCTGTGTCTGTCTGTTCCATCTCCTTGAAGTCACATAGTACAAAATCTATTGAACAGACAACGATCAGTATTTATAGGTCTTTCAAATGAAAAGGGAAAATTTTTATGTACAGAATGAGGAAGAAGGGGAGCCAAGCCAGAATAAGAGGCAAGGTAGGCATGAAGAAAAGTGTAAGAAAGGAATGTTTACAAGGAGCTGCTAGTGAATCAACCAACAATGGGCAGCAAACAGCTGAAACATTCATCTTCCCAGCTGAGTACACGTACTGGTAACTTAAAGCAAACCACCCTAAATCTCCACCTTTCACATGGAGCACCTAGTGAAGATGCAGAAGTGGAATGCCTCCACTTCTCCAACCACCAAGGGCTAACAAGAGTTTAGTTTCCATGAGTTCACTGCAACAAGCCTGTACATTTTACTTCTTGCCTTCCAGAAAGGTGGAAATCAGAAATGTTCCATTTCAGTCCATCCAAAATGTAATACATATAAAAATGGATAAATGAGGATAATTCATATATTTTCACCTTTTTTATTCTGATTTGAAATGCGTTTGTGTCAAAAATTTTTTCTTTTGGTGACAAACATTTGTGATAAACTACTCATCACATACTGGTAGAGCAAATACTTTGTAAAGGTCGTATTTTCAGCCATCTTACTTTGGAGTGGACAGATGATATCTTTCTTGCAGAAAGCAATACAAACACTCTTTTTTAATCAAATAGCTCAATATCAGTTTTCCAAATTTGATGTGGTTAGATTAAGAAGTCAATCAATTGCAACCACTTTCCCCCATCTGAGGAAAGGCTTATCCCCATCAAAGCAGTCTTTCTGTGGCAAATCATTTCATCTGATTCTTACAATTATAGACCTTTTCAGCAATAAATTACTGCCAGACACTTCAGGTTAAAATTGCTGTACAGTGAGCACTTTGCTCCCATGAAGATCGAATTAGAAGCCCCAAAACCCATATTAGAGTTACCTGAGTTCAATTCTCTATTCAGTCTCCTGAGAAGAATACCTGGCATTCAAGGCAGCTAAAAATATTTAAGCTGGTACTCCACTAGTGAATAATAAAGTATAATTGATATTCTGCCAGTTATTAGTAATCTTATAGCAAAATTGGTTAAAATTACAAAGATAAGATAAAAGATACAGAACGATATGGAATTGCAAACATGTCTGAAGTAGCCACACAATGAGATTGGTTTTGAGAAAGTTATTTTTACCCTTTTTGAATTAAGACTACCACAACATGGTAGAAGATGCTTCACATGAAAATTTGAATGAACAAAAAGAAGTTACATGGAATAATTTTTCTAAGAAGACATATGTGCAGGAAAGTTGTGGTGGAAGGGGAGAGAGCACCTTTTTTCCAGGAGTGTTCAGTTCTAGCTGCAGAACCTTGGAACAGATCGGGCAACTCAATGAGGAAGTGAAACACAGCCCCACTCCTCAAAGGCAGAAGCAAAATGCAGGGAACCACTGTAGGCAAATAGATTCTGAATCTGGCTGGTTGCCGCCTCTGTCTCAGCTCCCACACTTACTTTACCACTTCTGTTTCAAATCCCATCCCTAGGCAAAGGAAAGCAGAGGGTAGACTTCTCCCTTGACCATTCTCAAGAAACTGTAGGACTTTGCAGGGGATTGTTACTAGAGCTGATTGGAAGTTTTCTAATGGAAACTTTTCCATAGGAAAATGCTAAGTCATTGATAGCTATGATAACTTTGATGAATTTTCCCATGGAATAGAAGGATTGTTTTAGAACTTGCTTGTCAATCAGCATTAAAAGTCAGCTTGGTTTCTTAGCAGCTCACCTGACCTGGACTGCCTTGAAATCAGAATAGAAGCATACCACTAGTTGCTCTGCAGCAACAAAGATGGAACCATGAGAGAGCTACCTCAAAACCAGGAGTTTCATATCTTTCAGAAGGCCTGATAAAGAGTTATTTCACCATTATATTTTTCCAAATAGAACATTTTCATATTTGTTCTAAGATTATTTTTTTTTTAAATACCCACAGGAAGAGTAAAATCATCCTTCAAGGAGTCAGCGCACAATCACACACCATCAGGACTGGAATACAGTTTGTACCTTTTGTATGATGCTCTTGTTGCAGAAGGAGTTCTCTCAAAGAGTCAATATTGTCAAACTCTTGGGCATTTTTCAGAAAATCTTCAACTTGGTCAATTTTAACAGCAAACTGCATTAAGAAAACAAAGGGTGAGAAGCAGCACAGTATAATTTTCTTTTACAGAACTCCATCATAATCTCTGTATTATAGGTAAAGTTCATGAGAATTTGTAAATTCTTGGAGAAACATGTTTTTAGTGACTGCTAGATACCGATGCTTTGTGGCCTCTACGCACCTTCTGGTTTTTTGAGGTTCTTATTGATTGAGGGAACCCAAATTTCAGTTGACAGACTCCATAATTACAGTTTGTTGCTTTATGAATCATCTTTCCTACATAGTCTTCAGACCCACTGAAAATACATTCTTATGGAAGAATCTGTTAATTTCAAAGCCTTCAGTAAAATCATTTAACAGAAATGAAGCCTTTAGCTTAGGTCTCCTTTTCAGAACTTCTTTCTAATGTTAAAGTATTGAGGGAAAAAAAACGTTTAAGGGCAACATCAGACAGAGATACAATCTTCAAAGCAATCTTTTGAAGGCAGAAATGAGTAGGAAATTTAAGCTAATGAATATTATGGTAAATACAGTAATTAATTATAGTGGGGAAACAGCATCTCTGTAATGAAGACTGAAGTTAGGTTACTCCTTTACAGCTCATTTTTCCATGGGTCCATATTTTAAATATTCTGTGTTTCAGGGAGATCTGGAGCAGATTTGGTAATCTGCTGAGACTGTTAAAACTAAGGTTGTAATTCTTTATTTGGCTTCCACCTTTGCAGATGCAATTCCAAGTATAAGCAGCTCAGAGAGAATTGAGACACATATTCTGCATCTTAGCCAATCTTTATCAATTCTACTGCTTCATTTCAAGAATGAAGAAACGAGTAGAGTTCAAACCTGTGTTTGAAAAGCAAAGATGTTGAATACTTTGGTGAAATTAAGGAAGATGAAAAGTAAGCACTCTGCTTTTTCTGTCTTTTGTACTGTTCCACATTTTTCTCCCTCTCAATCTGCATGCTATAAAAGAAATCCATTAGGTACAACATTTGAGATTTCAGTTCTGATTTTCACTAAAGACTATTCTTGAGACATGTTTTGTGTTTTATCACCATAAAACAAAGATTTCCATAATCACAGGCTGTCATTTAAAGAAAAACCTTTCCATAAGAAGTTTCAGCAACTGCTATTTAAATTGATATTGTATTTCTTCTTCCCTTCTATATATAATGGATGTGATCTGTGCTGTGCTGCTGCATTTTGTTTTAATGATATAAGCCTGTTGCAGGGGCGGGTCAGCTAGCCCCTTAAGGATTTAGTCTGCACTAGGTCAACTTTTGGTAGTATAGAATTTATCATAGTGATACTGATGCCAATTCTGTACTAATTTCTTTGTATAATACACATCGCCGGGACAAAATTATTAGTAGATAATTGATCTTCGAGTTCTTAGGACAGTTAGCAGTAAAAAGGTTGCTTCTATAATTTATAGGTGGCACTGGGCTACTGTAGAAACAAAATTATCAGGGAGAATTATTAAACTCTTCAAAGCTCCATGAATGCAGGTAGAATCGAATGTGAGGCTACACAGAGTGAGCACGGAATCCCTCTCTGCTTTAGCAACTTGTGTATCAGTGAATTAGGATAAGAGATACAGAGAAATGGGTAAATGGGGCAAGACAACACTCTGAAATCTGTCTCTGGGCTTACACAATTGTCCTTTTGTGCACATCTGCACATGGAAGTCTCAGGTAAAGGACTGGCAAGTTAGACTAATGTTTAGTTTGCATAATTACAATAGCCATATGGGTATTTCAGTGTAAAACCTTCAGTGGCCAATCTTCAGTAAGCATTAGCAAAAGCATCTGAGAATTCAGTTCTTTCAATGCCAGATCATTTCAATCATAAGGAATGAAAGATATTCTGCAGAATGTCCATAGCCACTGGATTACGTATTTTAGGTTTTGGTCCAGTTCCATTTTTCATTGTCATTTTTCTGTCAAGTACAAATTTTGGAGACATCATGATAAGATATTTCTTAAAGTCTACATGTTTTTTTTGTTCAGTTTCATCCTGAACTATCCAGAAGGTGGAAAAGGAAGGATGCATCTAGAGATTTTTATTTTCTTAATTGCTTCAATGTTTAGGAATGCAATGAACATATATAATAGAGTAAAATTACAATGGACAGAGTACCTGTAAGATGTGGGAGGTTTCAAATTAAAAGTCATTTAATTTAAATACAAACCTCCAAAGCATTTTCAAAGAACACTGAAGTAAGTTCCAGAAGTGCCTGTCGCTTCTCTAACATAATGATGAGGGCATCCCATGCATCCCCAAGGGTCTCCGCCATGGCATCATAAACCTGACTCTTTTCTTTGTTCTCCTCTGCAGCCTTGTCTGCTTCATGCAGCAGGTCCCATACCTGGTCTTCCAAAGCCTGAGAAGAAAAATATGAACAAATCTGTAAACAGAATCCAAAACACTGTGCTGATACTGATGTCAAGATACTTTTTCAGTGGGTCTTACAAACTACCCACAAGTCTCCTACTCCTGCTTTATTTCCAGTTCCTAGTGATAGGTGTGTAGCTGTTCCTGCATGTTTCATAGCAAGCTTCTGAATTTCATGTACACTTAAGCGGGAATATTTTATGAAATTTCATTTAAAAACAAGTGTTAAGAGAATTTATCATTGTATTTCTAATATTTAGATTCAAATAGGTTTACATCTCCTTAAACACAAATCTTGCTGGAAGTGGTAGCAATGCAGATATTTTGGATCTTCTTTCATATGCCATCATATTACATTACCTGACATTACAAGCTTTAAGAGTTTGTAAAGTAACTTATAAGTCTCTGATGACTTCAACACAATCCAGACAAGAGTAGCTTGAACATATGCACGTATTCTCCAAAAAAACCACCAAATTTATGCAATGTTTCAAGTTCAGCTCACTGCTTTGCTCAAGCTGCCACCAAATAATACTCTGTTGTCAAGAAAATCATTCTACTGTGTTTCATTCCCTTTTCTAATCTCACTATGAGAAAGATAACTGCTGGGCCATTTCCAGCTTATGTTAAAAATCTTTAGTGTGTCAGAAAAAATTATTAGCATTTGTTCTACCTTTTTTTCCCCCCCATCTCAGGTTTTATTATGATCATGAATTAATAAAGTGCCAATTTCTCCTGTTATTGCAGGTGCTATCACATGAATGTGTAATGGGAAAAGAAATCTGTATTAGGCAAATTAAAATCTGTGATAACTCATTCTCATGACACAGACTCTAATAAAAGTTAAAGAATTGGAAAACTTGAAATCCTCCTGACAGATCCAACTGAAAAGACGAAATTGCAGAAAACTTTATTGTTCTAACCATAGAACCATAACCTCCAGTCCTCCCTAGACCTTGTATACTACGCAAAGCTGTCAGCTTGAACTGAAGAGGCTCATCAGTTCTCTCTAAAAGCAGTACTGTGAGAACGGAACTTTTATTCTTTCTTTGAAATTATTTTAACTTAACTTTACAGCCAGCCGACTATGAAAACAAACAGTGGTAAAAATAACAGACATAAGAGCAGTTCCAATAAACCCATCTTTTTCTACAGTATATAGAAAAGTAATTATCATCAGCATGAATGCATGTTTTTTGTTTGGTGACAAACCCATCAAAAAGAGCATCTGATCAAAAGCCAGTGTTCTAGAGAACAATACACACACCATTTTGTTTTCTGAATACCAGGAATGGGAACTGCTGCTTTCTAATCCTTCTGTAAAACCAGTTCTTTTTGTTCTGTTGAATCCCCCTCCCGACTGCCTCATAACATGAGAAGAAAAGCTCAAATCCCCCAAATGCTACCTATTCTGTATTGAAGTAGAAATCCAATTAATATTTATTTAAAACAATGCTTTGACTTTAAATGAGGTCATTTGCATGGAGTAGATACTGTCACTCTGATGTAACTATTGATAGCAACTGTTTTATATCTCCGTTACACCACAATGAGACAAGAGTCAGATCAGGAAAAACAGTTGGCCTTGGGAATCTAATCCAAAGTACTCCAGTCAACTTTTATTCAAGAATATTTATCTAGCTGACAAGGTAACTAAGGGTTGCTGCAGGTGTTTTGCTAGTCTTACATGCAGCAGTCAGAATCCTTATTATTGGAAATTAAAAAAAAAGAGCAGCACTGACTCGTGATAATTTTTAAACCGCAGAGATTATGTGCTTGTACAATTAATAAAATTTAAAACCCAGCTTCACCAAAACAAAGATAATGGTAAGTTAATGAACTGAGCTTATGAAAATTTTAGATGAAAATCCGTCTTTCACTGCAATCTTTAGCACAGTTCTTTCAACTCGGTGTTTCTTTTATTGGTTTGCATCATTATTTCTCCATTATTTTTATACTGTCAAAGCTATAAAAATAATGTTATCCATGTAATACTGGATTTTTCTAAATATATGCACAATCTCTTCAGAGCCAACAAAGCCTTGGTTCTTTGTTCAACCTCAAAAAAAAGGCTAAACTCCAAGTACTAACTGCCAAGCGCTACCTGTGTTGGATGAATCCTGGCTAACAGCTCTAAAGGAAGTTTGTTTTGTTTCATAGCACCTAGAAGAAACGATTTTGTGAAAGTCGTGTAAGCTTTAAGGCCAAAGTGTAGAATAAAAGAAACATCATGACAGAAGATGAATGAATGAAATACACAAGGATGTGATTTCATCGCCCTGTGATGGCAGGGTAGGATGAAGTTAATGTAGACATACTTCAGAGTGCTTACTAGATATAGCTGAAAATGCTTTACCAATATTTTTGATGCAAGATGATTTTCAAAGTTCTTTATGCCAAGCATTTGTTTTTAGCAGGTAAGTTTGACTTCATTTGAAAAAGTGAATGCCATAAGCTAAAAAATAAAACCATGGAAAGTTTGGCATGGCTCCATCCATTATGTCCACTTTCCTTTATTTGCTGGGTTTCTTAAACATGACATTTCTTTCAGACATCACAGCAGTTCAGCAAAAGGAGACTATGTCTTATTATTGGAGAAAAAAATCCTGTAAGGAATATTGGCTTTATTGGAGAATGAAATTATGAGACACCTGAAATAGATATTCTGTAAAATGACATCAGAATTCTAAGTGTTCAGTCAAAATAATTCTGCTGAAAATAAAAAGCTCACTTTAAGACTAAGTGACAGCTAGAAAACAAATCTGGAAATTTAATATGCTAGCATTCATTGTTTTCAGTTTAAAATGACAAAAAGTCAGGGATTATTTTCCCTGGTATTTATCAAGGAACTGGTAAATTAGCAGAATGGTAGCGTATAGTATTCCTATCTCTCTTAGGAAACAGATTACAGTTTACTGAAAATAATGAAGATTTATTTTGATTTGGTTTTTGTTTTTTTCCCACTTGTAGTTACCTTCAGAAGTAATCTACAGGCATGATGGCTGCATAATCGGACACATCTTTGTCTACATTGTTCACTTGTTTGAGAACACTGCATTTTAGGTAAGGTCTTGAAATCTTCAATGGCCAATACAATACTAACAGGAAGAAGGAAGTTACTTCATCTGGAAGGCCACTTTATCCATCTTTTCAGGCCCCATCCTCTGTTTTCCGCTTTTCCCTTATTGGTTAACTTCAGACACACAGGATTTTCACAATAAAAACAGATCAAGCACATTAAAGGCAAACCTGCATTAATAATGCAGTCACATTTCTATTGTGGTATATAGCGCTAGTAAAATTGGTAGCTAGACTCATGTGCTGTTTCGTTCTCATCTTACTAATTATGCCACTAAATTTATTTCTAAGCTTTTGCACAAGGAACGCTAATGAACAATTTCTTTAATTGAAGCCATTTGCCAATAGGTAAATGAGCACACATAACTATAATATGCTGCTCTTCAAATAGTCTATACATTCAATAAATATATTTTAGTCTTCCAATTTATTTCTAATGCCAACTGTTCCTGTTATCACTCATTATATTTCACAGACAACATAAAGGCAGGATATGACATTTACATTCCTTCAAAACAGACCTAGATATTGATTTTCAAAATCTATTCTGAAAACACAGCCAGACTACTTGCAAGATGATTTTAAAAGGCTACTCCAATAAAAGCACAGTATAAAACATTGGTTTTGTTACCATGAAGACACAGTCAAGGATAATTTGACTAGCTTTTCAGACACATAAGAGAGGAATTTATCATTGATTTTCCATGTCACACTGCTTTGTTCTCTGTCCAATTTCATCAAAACAATCAATATTTTCTAACCACATATGATAACATAACATGAAATGCCTAGAGCTCTGCTTGTCTACAGGACACAGAAAAATGTTTCACTCTTTTTTTTTTACAGGACACAGAAAAATGTTTCCCTCTTTCCTAACAGCTCAGCTTACTCAGAGTGATAGCACTCAAGACCCAAATTCAACACTAACACTATTTTACATTTAGAAAAAGAATATTCTAGAAGAATCATGAATCAGGAAATAAAATATGATTTTTTAAAAAGCTATAAAAATGGAAAATAAATAAGGTTTATGGATTTCATTCATTTTTCCAATAGCTTAACTACTGATAAATGAAGCCATATGAAGAGAGCATGAAAGGGAAAACAAAATAACAAAGGTTTCATGTGTGCAGACTGGGTCATTCTCCATTCTTGTCATTTAACACCCAACACTAGGAAATAGCTGTTATGTCTTAAAGTTTGTTTTAAAATAGACCTAAAATTTAGGACTATGTCCTACAACAAATTGTAGGCTTTTTGATTCTTTGATTTTGATTTACTTGTACGCTCTTTTAGCAGGAAGTGCAAGTTCATGTCAGAGTTCAAGTACTAAATATCAACTCGCTTTTATGCCGCATTAAAATTTTCATCATTTGGATTGTTTTAAAGTTTGGTGAGAATACTGGAAACTGGTGAGGTTACTTGTTTCTCTGGGCAGCTACCTACCCTCAACAGGCAAGGGATAAACCAAACCCACAGTTTTAACAATTGATACCATGGGTGAGATTCTCTTCCCCTCACTTTCTAGCCACTTCAAGAGACTTGCAGAGACCTGGAGTCCCTGAAAGCCCCCAATTTATTTCCAGCCTGCAAAGTGTGGCTCTAGTGAAGAGGGAAACCATGAGATTCTTTCTTGAAGTAGTCATTTGCCAGGTGAGGACAGAAATAAAGCAGTGTGGAATGTACAGACCACTTGGCCTCAGAGATAATTATTACTGAAAAAGCCATTTGTCCTCTGTTTCTTTGCCCCCTCTGCATTTTCTTCAAGGTCAGTTTAGCAGATGTTCCAGCCTAGGGTTGAGATAACCCAAAGACAGCTTATTGCTTCCCAAACTACTTCCTTCTTTGCTATGAGTGCTGTGCTTCATCACAGATTCTTACCCCCGAAGGTTCTAAAGAATGTGAAAGGTC